GGGGGATGGGGGTGGAAGCGGGGCTGGAGGGGGGTTCCCGGGGGAGGCAGCGAGGGCTGGGGAGGCGCTGCCGGTCCCCCCGCTGGGCTCGGCTCCATCAGCCGGAGGACGGCGGCTGCGGGTGCGTGTTCCGCAGACAGGGACCAGAACGGGAGAAGACCAGTCGTATTTAGCGTCAAGTGTTTTTGGGGTGATTTTTGGTTTTTTTGGGGATTTTTTGGGTGGTCTTTTTTTTGAAAATTCATAAAGACTGAAGTTTTGAATCATGTCAGTCGAACCAATCTGTCTGCTCGTTGCTTTGCCTGATGAATATTTCAATTATTCATTGCTGCCGTAAGGCTGCTCAGATCATAGAATGGTTTAGGCTGGAAGCGACCTTAAAGATCTTCTAGTCCCAACTTTGTCCTGTTACAGTGGAGACGTCAGAAGCTCCACTTGTAGTTTTGCCTTGTCTTTATATTTTTTACAAGAAAGCAGTAAAAATGAAGCGGAGATTTGAGCACTGTAGTATCCACTCAATTTCATGTGAAGATTTCCAGCCTTTTCGAGCACGAGCGTCTCTTGTGGTTTGGGAGCAGAGTGAGTGGGAGGGAGAAAATAGGTAGTGCTGGGTCTAATGAAACAGTAACATCAATTATTCCCCAGTGTGAGACCACTTAAATAAACTGCAGAGGTGGTTTTACTGTGGGAACCTATTTGCCAAACGAATTTAAGTCAAGAGAAAATATGCTTCCGACATTTCCTTTGGTTCTCCTCTGCCTCGAGATGAATTTTAAAAACGCTTTCTGTGATGTTTTTATTTTGCCTGTGAGATTCTGTTTGAGCAGAGGAAAACCGAGCTTTCCTGGCGACCAGCAGCCATTAGCCAAGTGCTGTGGTTTTGCTGCCAGGCTACTGATTTGTGGCTTCCTAAAGCAGTTTATAAGCTGGTGCCATGTGTCACTGGCCGTGTAACGCCTAAAGCACCGCGAGTGGTGGTTGGACTGAAGAGACATGTTTGAAATGTTCTGTACTCCTCTTTTGTGTAATTAGGAAATAATGAAAAGCATCGCTCTACTTGGGATAGAATCCTTTTGTTAACTTGTCAGTTTTTCTTTTCCCCTCAGTGGATATTTGGAGCTCACTCTCCGGTCATAGGATTTTCACCGTCTTCGAGCGTGGAATTTGTGCCTGTTTTTCCACCCGTGTACACATCCACGGTTCCGCCTCATGCTGGGAAAAACTGGATCGATAAAAGGCTACCGAGCTGCAAAGTAAGTCTGATCTTTGTATGTTGAAGCATTTTAAAGGCTAAAGTATATAAAGCTGAAAAATGTTACGGGTTTTATGAATGGTGAAGGCTCAGGAAAGGTCAGGGAAAACCCCTCGGAGGAGGAACGTCGTAAGGGACGGTTAATGGGGAGGCTCCTCCAGCAGTTGCACATCTGCACTCCTCTGGAGTTTTAAAAAGACTAAAGTACCTTCAATATTAATCTTTACTACGTTGAGTACGATGTTGTAACTTTACTATGGGATGTGATTATGGGGGGGTGGTTTCCTATTCTCCCTTTCTTCTCGGTACCTCTGCTGGTTTTCCCCAAAAGGGAAGCAGTGGGCACTGCCACCTCCCCGTGCCAGGGTGTCACTGGGGGTCTGCACCCTCATCCTGCCCACAGTGACCCACCTCTCTACAGTTACCGGGCCCAAGTAATTAAATCACGGCTTTGTGACTTTATCCCCCTTCCCTCCCTCCCTCTCTCCAGCTGGGAAGGTGGCTGCAGACCCTGAGGTGCGGGGGGGGGGTCGCTCTGGGCTGGCAGGGGCTGGGACACGGTTGCCTTCAGCTGTTCTCTCCTTTCTGTGAGGCTGCACTGGCTGATTGGTCCCGTTAAAAACCCATTAGTGCTTAAACGATCCGCTAAACTCGGCCAACAGCACCCGTGGAGCAGAGACCAACCTATTTTTGCAAGTTCATCCCCAACTTGAGATACCACCTGTACTGTAATACTGAGTTAAAGAGACTTTATTCTCACTTTGATATCTGAATTTTTGATCTCAAACCTTAACACTCTTTTATTTACTGGTGTTGGACAGATATACTTGAATAATGCGTTTGCTCTGGATTCGACGTGGATACATCCTGAGGAATCCAGGCTCTTCCAGGGAAATGAGAAGCCTCTGCTAATGACCAACCAGGTGGCCATGGCTATAGCCAGGCCGGCTGCTGCCTCCAGGCCTCTTCCCACAGTGGTGTTGGCACCTCAGCTGATACCAGGTCAGTAGCACATAAATAATTAAGTATTTATTTATTTTTTTTTTTTTTAAATGCATCTTCCCAAAGAGACGTAAGCCATTCTCTAAAGTAAAGGTTTCATTCCATTCAGCTGAAAATCTCTTGATTGATCTGAACCTTGATGACAAAGTGCATTTCATCCCCTAAATGACTTTTAAAGAAAGAAAAGACCATGGATGATTATGGAAGATTGTAAATAGATGATTCAGTGACTGGTTGTTGACTTCTGGAGGGCCTGGGCCAGCCGCTCCCGGTTTCCTTGGCTTGTTTTCAAACAAGAAATTGCCGACACAGTTCCTGTGTAATTCTCCCATTGGCTGCTGATTTTAAGAGCTTGGTGTGGTCTCTGCAGACAGCGATCAGTCGAGAAAAGCAATTGATCCATCATCTCGTTAAGGCTCAGTTATGCACAATGATATTTGTGAAATAAATTCCATTAATCTGTGTAACTCAGGTGTGTCAGAGCTGTTAACGGAAGAGCCACGCTTTATACTTGGGAAAGGACAGAAAATACATTGCAGCAAGGCTGAATCTCTCTGTTTCGGTGCTACAGGAGTAATTTGAAATAGCAGATGTCTCACAGGAAGGGTTAAGAAGTAAAATGCTGCTGATGTGTAAACTCCTAACATATAGTCCTAAATTCAGAATTAGTACATTCTTAATGGCCTGATGTCATTGTTTCTCCCTTTCTCGTATCGAGGGTGATGTCCTCTCGGGTGACAGCAGAGCCCTCTTACCTACGAGTAATCACTCTGAGGTTATTTCTCATTTCACAGCTGTGCAGACGCAGGAGGTTTCCTTGTGGTTTGCCAGTGAGGCAGAGACTGAGTGAGCGCGTGCTGGAAGAGATCCGCACTGTTTGGGTTCGTTTGCCAGACTGATTAATTAGCAGTGAATATTGTTCTGTATTGAAACATGTTGAACCGCCCGAATGGGTTCCGTATTTTGCTGTTTTAGCAGCCGGTGCTGGGAAACTGCCTTCCCCTCCTGCCAGAATCCCCCGATGCTCAACTGGGGAGCGGGGGTGGCCCTGGTGGACAACTCCCATGGATGCATTCCTCCTGGGATGCTGGGGACCTGTCCAGATGTGCTCCTGGTCCAGCTGTGCTCCTGGCCAGGAGGCACCAATCCTAAGCCCATAAGGACCAGTGCGATGGTGAAGGATCTCTTCCACACAGGGGAGTGACAGCCCCCTGGTTGTTTATCCATGCTTAAAATAATTCAATATTTAAGCAAACATATTTTATCACCTGCAACATTTCAGACATAAAGCCACAGTTAGGGAGTCACACCTGGCAGAACAGGGGCATCCCAGCCTGATGCCGTGTCATAGACTCATAGAATTGCCCAGGTTGGAAGGGACCTTTCAGATCTTCAAGTCCAACCGTCAACCCAACACTGACAAAACCACCATTGACCCATGTCCCTCAGCACCACGTCTGCCCGGCTTTTAAATCCCTCCAGGGATGGTGACTCCACCACTTCCCTGGGAAGCCTCTTCCAAGGCTTGACAGCCCTTTCTGTGCAAAAATTATTCCATCCTAAACCTCCCCTGGCACAACTTGAGGCCATTTCCTCTTGTCCCATCACCTGTGCCTTGGGAGAAGAGACCGACCTCCCCTGGCTACCTTTCAGATAGTTGTAGAGAGCAAGAAGGTCTCCTCTCAGCATCCTTTTCTTCAGGCTGAACGCCCCCAGCTCCCTCAGCCGCTCCTCAGAAGTTCTTCAGACCCTTCTCCTTGTTCTCCAGACCCCTCACTGTCTTCGTTGCCCTTCTCTGGACACGCTCCAGCCCCTCAATGCCTTTCCTGTCATGAAGAGCCCGCTGTGGCCTGTCAGCAGCACAGAGAAGTTTTCTTCCCCCTGCACAATACATAGATGCTGAAGCCTGTTTGCTCAGGAGATCTTCAGGTGGCTCCAGCTCCTCCTCCAGCAGCCTGCTCAGTGTTGGCTGCCGTCCCCTGAGCATCTCTCTGGCTGGGAGCAGCATGAAGACCCCCAGCCACTTTTCTGAGTCTTCCCATCCTATTTCTGGTCCATGCCATTGATGCTCACCCCGTAACGCCCATGGCCACGTGTGAGCTCCAGAGACGGTGATGGCTTTCCTGCAGGATGGCCGTGTTAGTGCCCTGCGGCGTTACGGCAGCACTTGAGGTATTTCCTATATAATCTTTACACTTATTATGAAGGGTAATAAAATATACCGAGAGCAAATTGCTTAGTTAAGTGGTTTAAGCTGAGGAGTTAATAAGCTTTTTGCAGGCTCTGCGGCCGCGTTCCTTCCGGAGGCCCGTCTGACGGCAGGTTTGCCTTCCCCAGTTATCAGTAATGATATAATTGTTTTCTCGGTGTATCACGGCGTTACAAAGATAAAGGAGTGAGCACTGGAGTCTGGTGAATGGTAATGCATGTAATTTAACAGCCGCGAGCTCCAGCTACTAGAAGGTGTTATTTTCTGTAAGAAAGGGAAGCAGCTATTATTCTCGCGCATATTGCAAAAACATGAATTTATGTACTTACCATTTTGTGTATCTAAAGCGAATAGTGACATTTTATGTTCCCACCTAGGAATGATAGCTTGGTTTATGTCTACGGGATAGTGTGGGGTTTTTTTTTCGGTGAGGAAAGCAGTGCCTGGGTATTTTTGCAGAGAAAGGACTGATATTTTTGTCTCCTGCGTTGTGCTCCGTGCCGTGGGGATGCAGTCAGGGCTGGTTTGGCCCCCAGTCAGGAGTGACCATGTGGTATCTCTGTGCTCTGCGTGTCCCTGCAAGGTCAGTGGCTGCTGGACATGGGGTGAGGGACCACCATCAGGACCCCTTGGTGGCCCCCGTTAGATGAAAGCTGTAGCACTCTGGTATGATGTTCAGTGATTTTACTATTATTGGTGCTATTTTAAATGTTTGAAGGTCCATTCTTGCCATTTGGTGTTGCTGGCTCTCAAGAGCATCGCCAGGAGTAGTTCCCTGCAAAACGGGTGCTCTTACTGGTGTGTTTGAGAAGGTTTTCCCAGGAAACCTTGGAGAATGAGCCTTTCATCCAGCCTCCTGTGAGGGAGGGAGCAGGAGATGCAGATTGAAGGGTGTTGTCCACTCTTCAGGAAGCAAAGTACCCCAGAAGAACTTCACGAAATGGCCAGTGGCAAGTGCTGAGCAGAGCCTGCGGCTGGGCTGGGTGGCTGGGGGAGCATCCTGAGGGAGGCCACCAGGAAAGGGGTGATTTGGCTGTGGTGAGGTGGTGGTGCTCAGCTCGTAGCCCTTGAGATACATGTTTGCCTTCTGCTTGCTGGAGGATGATGGCGAGATGTGAGGTTAGCGAGGGTCCTTCTGTTAATGCTGCCAAAGGGAATGAACACCCTCAAGAGTTTCTGGGGATAAAAGTCACAGGCAGCTGCTCAGCAGCAATTTGGAGACCTGCATAACCTCAAAATCAGAGTGTTTATGGTACAGGAGTTTCAGAAGCGTGTTGGGTCAATGGAGCCTGAATGCTGCCTTCTGCACTTCTACTCAAAGAAAATCCAACATTTCAACATCTGTTTTCAGTTTGAAGCCTTTGACAATCCTCAAATGGATTTTTTTTAATTTTTTTTTTTTTTTACACATTTCAACATAAATTGCATTTTCTTACTGATCTTGAGTGTTGTACTGGCCCTGGCCCCATGGATGCCTTCAGTAACAGCCGTGAAGGTGTGTGCAGAAGAACGCAGGTGGCAGAAGCTCTGCCTTCTCCCAGGTCTCCTGCAGGGACCCAGCTCGGAGCCGGGAGCTCTGGGAGGAGGCACTGACAAGGTGAAAACCTCCTCATGGTTTGCATCCGTAGCAAAATGCTCAGAATATTTTTAATTTTTTTTTTCATTTGTAACAGGAGTGATTTCACCTTGTATGAAGATTTTCAGTGTTGGTTTCCTTGAAGGAAAATATTCTTCTTAAAGAAGATATTTTCTTTCTTCCTTTTTTTTTTTTTTTTTGTGTGGAATGATTTTTCAACAGAAGATATTTTTTGGTGATGTTGCTGCCTCTACATTTCTGCAGCGTCTCTTTGCTCAGAAGCAATCTTTTTGCTCTTTCATCCATTGGTGTTGAAGTCACACATACCAGAATGAAGAGTTTGTGTATATTCTTTCAGCAGGTTGCTTTAGCATTACCCACCCTGTGTATAGATTAAAATTTTGATCCTTCTTGTTTTCCTTTTCTTTCTTTTAATCCTACTGACCTTTACAGAACTGAGCTAATATTTTTCCTGGCAGGTGTCGGTGTTAGAATTTCTCTGCATATAGAAAACTGTACCTGTACATACATGTCTAGGTAATTTCAGTTTAAATTTTACAAATCCATGAAGAAATGGGGTTGCTTTGTGTTAAATTTGGGTTCTGTTCTCTTGTGGTTTTTACCAGCTCTGAGACACATGGCATAAGACCTCTGACCTTCTCTATTTCCTCAACAGAAGCTTTATATCTGAATCGTGTGTGTGTATATGAGTAGGCAGGTTTTGGGCCTCTCAAATTGGATTCCCTTAAATATAAGGACTCCCTGCTTGAAAAACAAGAATAGCACTGCAGGAACCTGAATATTCCTGAAATGCTGTGAAAACCCTCTTTATTTGTGGAGCGCTCAGGCGCTGCAGAGATGAGTGTTTATTAACTGTCTGGGAATGCTTGACTTTAATCACAGCCTTTACAAAATTTTTGTTTTGCTTATTAAGTTTGTGCTTTTTTGATGCTTTTCCTGTCATCTACCTAAATCAAGTGCAAACTTTAGCTCCATTAAGATTATTATTTTTTCCCACTTAAATTATAGAAATAAAACTACAGGTAATATGTTCATGGGAAAGGCTTGTAGTTCTCACCCTTTCATAATATTGTCCTCCCTGGCCCCAGGACTTCATTATAAAGAAACCCGGACCTTTCAGTGATTTGCAGCAGCTGCTCTTTGTAGTGAGGGGCCAGGTATTGTGATTTATTGCATGTGAGCAGTACGATGGGGTGCAAGAACCGGACTGAAATTCCAGGTGGGACTGGGACATTTACACGTTGTTGTTCAGTGAAGTCTGGGTGAAAGGATAAGGAAAACTCAGCCATTCATTGCATCGTTAAATAAAGTTAGAAGGAACATCATGCTCGTGTGTATTTAATTCCTTTTTCTCCAAGAGAGATGAGGAGTTCAAAAGGTCTTTGACCTGCTTGAAAATTTTTCCTCTCTTATTTTTTTAATGTGGGTCTTTTGGGAAGGATATTCATAACCCTTTGGTAAAGATGCTTTCCTGTCGGCAAAACCGAAGACAAAGACTGAAAAGCTGTAATAATCAAGTGCAATTTAAAATTCATTACCTTGTCTGTACAGTAAGTTCTCACAATACTGATTAACTTTTTCATCTGCAAGGGAAGGTCTTGAATTAACCTTCTTGGGTGGGAGTGGGTCTTCATATCTCACAAGTGTTAGCGGTCTTTACTTTTGCCTTGTTAAATAAAGTACCTTCTGTTCTTCTGGCTGTTTTTTGCTCAAGGAGGAAAATCTCGTGGTTTCAGTCGTTAAGGTGTTGGGCGATGTCAGCAGCCAAAAGGTAGTTCTGGTGTGTTCTGGCTGCAGAGACCATGCGTGAGTGCAGAGGGGTTTGGTGGCTTTTGGGAGGAAGCAGGGCATGCCCTGGGCTGGTTGTGATGCCTCTGGTGGGTCTCAGCAGGGTTGGCCTTTGTATCGCCAAGGGTCTCCTTCCTCCCTGCCGCTGATGGAGACCAGTTGTGGGCATTGCGTTGCGTGGTTTGGCATGTGCCACAGGACCACCACGTCGGTCTGTTGGGTTCGTGTACGTCCCTGGGGAAGGCTCAGCCTGCTCTTGGTATCCCAAAGCCCCATGAAGGAACTGCTGGCTTTGGGTGGTGGAGGTTATGCTCTTCTGTCAGTGTGGCCCAGCCTGGTTTCTCCTACGCCAGGAGTGGTACCCAACAGTCCAGTGATGTTGGCAACAGGCACAGGTCTGCCTGGTGAAAACGAGTCCTCTCATCAAGAATATGATGGTACAGTTCACAAACTTCTTGTAGAAGTTCTGTGAAACTTCTAGGAACTTGTAGAAACTTCTGTGCTAGAAGAGAAGGCACAACAGAAACAGCTCCTCTTCTGCACCTGTGTGTGTAGACCCTTTGCCACATGGATTTTAGCAGGTAGATGGATGGCAATCAGGTGTCATCCTGTGAGATGGCTTTGCTGCCCAGTTCTAGTGCCCTCACCACATTTCTCCACCATCCATGAATCATCTCTGAATAATCTCCTCGTTGCTTCTTCACCTGCTCTCTGCCCTGCAGTTGCTTCACACCGAAACGTGCTGCCCATCTCAGGTGTTTCCCCTCATCTCTTTGCTTGAGAGGAGCTGGAAGGCTGGGGAAGGACACTGGGATGGGGTTCGGTATCTCAGCAGACAAGTATGACCTTTCTCCCAGGATGTAGTGGGACTTGGCAAAAACAGATTTGGGGAAACCACCGTTGCTAGGAAAAAAATTGCGTTTTTTTTCCCTCAAGGTTATATTGATGATAATATTTCACTAGTATGTTCAAGGCATTTGACTCTTGAAATTCATGAAAATGTGGGGTGATTAACGATGATTCTAAAAAGCCCTTTCAATAAATTTTTGGAAATCATTACAGCAAAACCTGGTTTGTTTCTGAGCAGAACTTCTCTCCAGCTATGCCAAGTGCAGATGAAAGTCCCTGGCTCTCAAGAGGGCCTGGGCCAGCTTCCAGTTACTTTGGCAAATCATCTGCTGTGTTGGAGGTGGATAAATTGCGGAGATGACTGTTGAGTTGACTGCAAAGTGAGAGCTGGGGCTTGGTGACCCCCGGACACCCTGTCCGTGCTCTCCTCTCAAGTATTAACAGTTATAGGGGGTAGTCCTTTCTTCACGGAATTATTTAGCAGGAGAGAGGGAGAGAGAACTTCATCAAAGGCGGGGAAATCACCAAAACTTCTCTTTCAACTGACTGATGAAACTTTAATAAGGGAATTGATGAAACTTTAATAAGGAAGCCCTGCTTCAGGAGCGTTATTCATCTGTGCTGGTGGAAGACTTCGGCTTTCCAAGCAACTAAGACTTACATTATTTTGCTGCTTTCCTGGGCTCTTTGGGGAAATTGCATCTTCTTCTCCAAAATAAAAGAATCAAAATGAGAAGTAAACAACCTTTCTGCTCCCGTACCCTGTAGGAAACCAGTAGAAAAGTCATTTTTCTAGAAAACATTAGTTTTCATAAGATTTACAGAAGATGCTTTGTGGATTTTCCCCCCACTGCTAACAGCTGGAATCAGGAATGAGGGCAGGCTCTGGAGACCAGGTGTGTAACCTAACGGCCTGTGAAAAAACAATAAACTTGTATTAAAAAGTTAGATTAGTTGGTAACTGATTTTTATTTTATTTAATTTCCATTGTGACTGTTGCAGAATAATCTGTTGCTCATCTGTCCATGGTGGAATCACTGAAACTCTAATATTTGTGGTTTTTTGCCTGTGTGCCTGTTAATTAGTGCACATGCAGGTGTTCTAAATGAATTCTCTTGGAATTGACAAATGCAGCAGAAATAATAGAAGGTTCTTTTGTGATGTTTACTGAAAATATTTGACTTCTGTTTTGTTAACGTAGAGCTTATTTTGCTGGCAAATAATTGTTTATAAAGAGTCAGGAGCGAAGCTGCCAGCAGTTCATATAATGGGCAGCCTCAGGAGCCCCAATTAACTGCAACCAAAGCAGGGCCCTTTCCAAAAACCACTGACCCACTCCTGCCCGACGCCAGCTGAGAGCAGAACAGCGCTTGGCGTCTGAAAATCAGGACTTTTTAGGTGTCAGGAGCCAGAGTGGGATGGAAAAGCCTTGATGGGCTTTGGAGCCGTGTAGGGAACGTGCCCTGCACTGGGCTGTATCGCCGGAGCCAGAGTGGGATGGAAAAGCCTTGATGAGGCACCTGGGCTATGGAGCCGTGTAGGGAACGTGCCCTGAACAGGGCTGTATCCCCCCACGGAGCCCCAGTGGCCACCATCCCCATGGCCCCGGCTTCCAGCACGTAGGGGAAGAGCTCCACAAACCCCTGGAATGCCTGGAGTAAGGAATCTGATCAAATAGTGATTTTTTTTTGCAGAGCTGCAGTTGGCTCTTAGTGCCTGAAGGATTTCCACATGAACCGAAAACATTTGCTAAATGACATAATAAGCTAATGATTGCTTAATTTTTGAATACATAGCTCAGTGTAGAGGGAGTAACAGCTGGTGTTTGTCAAATTAGGTTTTCTCCTTAAGATTTTTTACTACTCATTTTCTTGTTTATTTAACGTATTTAGCCAAGATTGAGCTCTGAAGGTCTTTTCCCCCAAGCTCCTTAGACTTAAAGGTAAAGGTTGCACAGGCTAAAGCGCTTTTGAGTCTGGATTTGGGGGACTTCTGAGCTGCTGTGTGAAACCATGTGAAGTTTCCTGCATGGTGTGATTTTAAGATGAAAGACGTTAGTACATAAAAGTAGTAAAACTCAGGAATTTGCATGTGTATTACGGGAGAAGAGCCGAGCAGATAACATTGATGTTTGACGGTGAATAGAGCAAGTAACCAAAACGTTCAGATTTGAAATCAGACAACTTCTGTTGAGGAAAAGTTGGAATAAGGGTGGTCGTGCGTTGTTATGAAGCTGTGGGAGCTGAAGAAAATGCCGACAAACGCGTTCAAATATTTGACTTTTTTTATTGAGGTTTTTTCATTTAAATTTAATAACTCTGTGCAGTTTGTATATAACTCACTGCTGTCTTGTCCCTCTGGACTATAATGGTATGTTCACATATATGGGGTTTTAATATCTAAAAATGCACCAACCACAAACAAGAACTTTAGGAATAACCGTTAGGAAGGGGGCTTTGAGAGTCCATAGAAAATATGTTGTATAATATATTTGATATAAATAAAATCTATTGTCTCTCTAAGGTGGACAAGCCAGGTGGGAAATGCTGCAGACCTTCCTTCCATTGCGGGTCGAAATTCAGAAATGCTGAAAACATCATCCTGTGTAAATCCACTGGCTTCCAATGAAAAATAAAACCTGCTGTATCTTGCCCTTCCACAGGTGGTTGCCAGAATAGCCTTAAACCAGTCGGCGGTAACCAGAGCCTGGCGTTGGCCACCGCCGCGATGGTGTCGGTGGAGCCCGAAGCCCCCCAGGGACCTTCAGCACCGAGTGTCCAGCCCTGCCACGTCCTCACCTTCTCCCCCATCAAAATTCCAGTCTTGGCAGCACCTTTTCCAGGTAAGATTGCTCCTGGTGGCACTAACGAGCAGCTTTTTATATTTACTTTGCAACAGAGAGAGGCTTCTGAGGGCGAGTGGTGGTGGTGTCGGTGATCCTTGGTGAATTAAATATTCAGGGGATATAGGTGGCATGACTGCAATCTGGAATTAAAGTTACTTTCTGTGGTGCTGCTTAGCTCTTCTCTAAAATTGTGTATTTAAAGTGAGTCCAAGGCTCCACCTGCGTTTGCAGCGTGTGTCTTGCTGTGGAGTTTGCAGTCACCGTATGAACTGAGCTGTGTCCTGTCCTCCCTGTGAGAAAACGGGACCTCGGTGCCACCAAGGCTTGGGAGCAGATCCTCAGGCTGCGGGGTTGGGGCTTGAGAGGTGTCTGCTCGAGGTACAGTAATAACTGAGTAAAACTTAAGTAGATTGTTGGGGTGTTTATAGTTATAAAATATGGTGGAAAAAACACAGCCGTGGATTTGTATGTTTCCTGATAGGTCTGGATGCTTGCTGGACGAAATGCTATTTTCTTAGCATGGGTTTTTGTGACAACTTTCTGAGTGTGGTGGCTGGGGACGTCCGATGGCATCCCCGACCTGCTGTGGAACTCTGGTTTGAAGTCTGGGGGGCGGTTTTTGAAACTGTTTGTACTTTGGATGCTCAAGGCTATATTTAGAAAAGTTATCTACCAATTAAGCTAAAAATTTAAATTAGGGTGCATTTTCCATCTTTTTGGTACTTGAAGTGTAACGCAGCGAGATTGAATTTTGCAGGAGGCACACGGTTATGATTTTTTGGTGTTCAGATGAAATCTTTTGATGAGTGATGTGTCTCAGTAATTACCGTTCCTGTTGAGCAGCTGGTAGAATCCCCCAGATAAACACCTCCCGAGGGCACTGGGTGGGGGGTTTGTGTTCAGGGAGCCTGAAGAGCAAAGTGTTCCCTAGGAATAGAGGGACAAGTGCTGTCTCCAGCTCTGGGGTCCTCAGCACAAGGAGGACGTGGACAGAAACCATTTTGCCTGTTTGTACGTGGGCGTCTGAGAGGAGAGTCCAAAGTGTGTGTGTGAAAATCATTCTTTCTGTGTGCTGAAAAGCAGACTGTGGCCAGAAGTGTCCTTCCCTGGCTGGAGATGCTGGAGCCATGGGGGAAGGAGCCGGTGCAGGCCCCGGGTGATGGTACCGGGATGCGAGGCGATGTCGGCGGGAGGCTCTGAGGCCTGGCGGAGGGTCTCAGGGGCTCGGGGAGGATAAATGTGTCAGCCCCTGATAATTGTCGCTTCCCTTTGGAGCAGGAGTGTGTTAGGTGATCAAATACCCCGCTCCGAGTGCCTGAGCAACCAGCCTGTTATCAATCACCCACAGTGAGCCACGCGCTTCTGGGTGTTTTCTCCTGCAGAATATATGGTAGCTTTTTGGAAGAGAAAGCTTGAAGATGCCCAGTCTGCGTACGATAAACTCGAGATCCAGCTCACCGTTTTTGCCTATTAATCACCATCTCTGGAGGGAGGCCTTTGCAAAAGCTTACATAAAACATTTTTATGAAATCCCTTTTTATTGTGCTGGCAGAGAAGGGGACTGGGAGGTGTTGGGTTTAGGTGATCTTTGTCAGCACCGGCTGGATGAGGAGCTTCCCCCGTGGGTGCTGAGAGGTGGGATGGAGGGAGGGAGCCTTTGGGTGCCCCTGGGGCAGGGACCGCTCTGCAGCTGGGCTGCATCCCTGCCTGGGATGCTTTTCCTTAATTTGCAGAGGAAAAAAGGCTCCGTTGGCCAAAGGCAGCTCTCTGCTGTCGAAAATAAACGTCTCTATTGCCATATAAGTTAATGGCTGGGAAAGGATGAGGAAAGCACAGTCGAGTGTCCAGGTAGTCCCGATGGAACGTGCTTTATCACCCTGTCGGCCTCTCGGTTACAAACATCCGTGCGTTGGCGTTTATTAAAGATGACTTATTGTTTTCAAAGAGAAATACATCTTGGAGAGAGCGTAATCTGTGGACCCCGGGGGCAGCTGCGTTTTTCTTGATCCATGTGTGATTTATAAAGTAACATGGTAATTAATGAACTTTCCCTGTTCTCCTTGTCTAAAGTTTACGCAAGGCAATGTTCACGTAATAGGAATGAACTCAGGGAACAAAAGATTAAATTATTTCCAACTTAAATCTACGTGTATATTGGTGCCTGTAAGGCTGAACATTGTGTGCTTAGTTATACGCTGTTAATTGATTATACTGGAGATTGGTATTGTAATACCACCTGTACAGCACCGTGTTTCTAATCACAGCAGTTTGTTCAATCAATAATCTTATAATTTAATATTTACTTTTCAGGAGGCCTTTTAATGTGATTAGTTTTGCAGCCTGGCTGTTCGGCCGTGTTCCTTTCTGCCAGCCTAATTCAAAAACTTGGTGAGTTAGTAAGAAATGGCCAGTTGGGGACACAAGGTGGGCTGTTGGGGCAGTCTGGTTCTTTTAACCCCCGTGGAGCCCCAGCGGTTTTGAGGGAGGTGGATGGTGTGGTCACAGCCTTCCCTCCTGGATCCTTTTGCTCATCCTTTTTCTAGAGAACCTTGGAATTTCAGTTAAATTGTTCACAAGCAGCAACTGGGTTATAAGCAATGTTTCTTTGAAAAAAAATCACATTTCTTTGCATAACTCTGTTTTCACATCCATGAGTTAAGATGGAGAAGGTTCCAGCAATGCTCTTGGAGCTCTGTTTGAGGTTATTTTTTCCTTTATTTCCTTTCTTCTTTTTTCATCGACTGGTGGTTCTGCTCATAGATGTACCAGGCAAAATGTTCCCTTAAATATTTAATGTCAGCCTTGCTGTTAACTTAGGTGTTGTGCCAGATTTAACATAAAGACTAAATAGGAGCTTGTGGAGATGCAGTTACTCGGTGATCTGAGCTGCATCTTCATGCTTATTTGCTCTGCTGGTAAAGAGAAAACTTAATTTTCCAGCACTATCAAGCCAAGTCTTTGAAGACTCTATCTTTAAAAAAAAGAAAGGCAATAAACTTTGGGAATATAAACAGTTATGTGGAGCAATTCAGGTATGGGCTATGTAGTAATCACTAATACCACTTTTATGGCTACTGTATTAAGAATTGGGGTATTTATTTTCTTACTTTCACATATGACTTCTTAATTATTCGAGTGAAAAAGGTAAGATATGAGTCTGTGGTTATGGACTCTGTAAATTAGCAGTGAGTACAAATATTAAAAAAGGCACCATCTGCCATATAAACCATTTGCCACCTGTTCCCTTGCTTTCAGAATTATTTAATGGTTTAAATTTAATGTTTTAGCTTGCCACAGAACAGCTGGGAAGTGACTAAGTATTTTTCCTATCAGTACCTTAACGGCCAAGCAACATTATATGTTAAAAACAGCTCTTAATGCCAGCGTTTTTCTACATGCTCTTTCATGTGTCTGTCAGCTTGCTTCATTAGCAGATTCTGCTGATAGAAAACACATTTTCATAACAACAATTACTCAATTATTTTTGTGGTGTTTTTTTGGAAGAAACAGCTTCTCTTCTGCAGCAAACCCGAGTGATGGTGAGTTCAAGGAGGTCCCAGCACACCGGGATGGAGGGAAAGGCAGTGGGACAGCAGAGTTGTTACTGGGAAACCCCTAAGCTCAGCCTGGCACCTTCCCTTCCCGGTTCCTCACCGCGTCCTAGCTGGGATGGGAGGAGTGAGGCGAGGTGAAGTTTGTCTGTAAGAAGTATTATTGATGGGAAGAGGGATTTTAAGAAATTTAGGAGTAAGGTTAGACATCTCTAGAACCTTCCAGATGAGTTCTGCTCATCTCCTGCCAGTGCCTGGTGTGGGGCTGGGCTGGTCCAGCAGGGCTGAGGAGAGCTGGTCGGGGTTTTGACAGTGACGGAATTGGTGTTTCCCTCCAAGGTACGTTTGTCCAACTTCTCTGGAAAATACAGGCGCTTTTCTTTCCTTTCTTAACAAGATTAATTAAACAATGTAATCCAGTGAGTGAATACTTGGAGATGTTGTGCAGTTCTGGCCATCCGGATGCTGCTCCCTGCTCTCCTGGTCTGGGCTGTGTCCCCGGGCACTCATTCCTCGTTCCCATCATTGACATGATGCACTCCCTGGGGATTTTCCTTGGGTATTTCTAATTTAGGACAAACTTGCCATTATGTAAAATGAAATTCCTAGATGTTAGGTGAGCAGGAAATATCAATTTTTGAAAATCAGATGAGCAATTTGAAATATTCCAACCAGCCAATGTGATGTTCATCTACTTGGGAAGCTCTTCTTCCCCCCCCTCCCCAGGGTGTCCTGCCAGCCTCGCAGTGAAACAGGTCTGACTTTGAATACTGAGTAGTTCTAACAAGCTTGTTGTAAATGATCTGCCCAGCTTTAATGCTGTGTAACGAAGCAAGCAAATGAATGTTTATAGTTATTAAAGTGATAACTTCCTACTCAAGCTAATATTCAGCATAAAATTACTTTTCGGTATCGTATCTGTGTTGGCACATGCAAGGAAGGCATGTACAGTGAGTTTCTGAGCTAAAAGAGTGCCAGAGATCACACTGAAATGAGTATCAGTTCTCTTCTACTGTTGGACAGTAAATCTCTGCTGGAAACTGTAATTGCTCAGTTGCCTGATTAAGACTCTCTAACACTCTCTAAGAAACGGGATGGTCATTCCTAAGATGGCTCTTACCCTCCGCATTGAAAGATACAGTCAAATATTTTGGATTGACTGAAGTGGCTTTATGGGTCATGACGACGTTAGTCTCTTCAAATAGATTTCTAAGGCATTAAGATGATGTCTGTCTGAGCCTATCTTATGGATCTATAGCAAAAGACATTTCTAATCCTGCTTTTCCTGCACTATCATTGATATGACTAACTAGAAGTAGAATGGAAGATCTTCTGGTGGGATAAAAATACACTTGCAGAGGGAGTGTACTGCTGTGGTACTTCATCTTATCTCTTGGAAGAATCCTACAGCCAAGCTGGTTTCAGATGCAAACTAGTCCTGCTTCA